ACAGGAGCTTCGATCTGCTCTTCCTCCCTGCCCTCAGACACCATAGGCCGATAGGATTGCTATCAAGTAACTAGCAGGTGTAGATCACAAACAACGTAGAGCACTAAGCGTGCGTTATGTAGAAGCAAAAAGCACACTAAATTGAAAAAGTCAGCTTGCCAGTTGCAAAGGAAGCCACTGATGACACAGAAGCAAATAAGGGCTGAATATACACTGGTTACGGAGCTCCTGAGTGATTTAGGAAGGTGCTGTGGTACAGCGTGCAATGCTAATCCTGCCTTTTGCTCTTTCTTTACAGGCCAAGATATTAAATCTGATGGCTTTAGTATTGAGACGTGCAAAATAATGGTTGACCTGTTAGATGTATCCTTTAAGGCTTCCTAGATAATATTCTTGTGCCTGTGCTGGAGTAGGTAACCTACTGCCTTTGCAGTGCTGGGTCCATACTGATGTACTAGTAACTCCTGAGGTGGAATCATAGAATCATCTAGTTGGAAGAGACCCTCAAGATCATCAAGTCCAGCCATTCACCCTGCACTGTCAGGGTCCCTAAACCATGTTCCTCAACACCAAATCCACACAGTTTTTAAACACCTCCAGGGATGGGGACTCCACCACCTCCCTGGGTAGCCTGTTCCAATACTTCACAACCCTCTCTGTAGAGGAATTTTTCCTGATATCTAACCTAAATTTCCCCTGGCGTAACTTGAGGCCATTCCCTCTCGTCCTGTCATTCATAACGTATGAGAAGAGACCGACCCCCATCTCCCTACAACTTCCTTTCAGGTAATTGTAGAGAGCGATAAGGTCCCCCCTGAGCCTCCTCTTCTCCAGACTAAACAGTCCCAGCTCCCTGAGCCACTCCTCATAGGACAAGTTCTCTAAACCCTTCACTAGTTTCGTTGCCCTTCTCTGAACCCACTCCAGCACCTCAACGTCCTTCTTGAAGTGAGGGGCCCAAAACTGGACACAGTACTCAAGGTGTGGCCTCACCAGTGCTGAGTATAGGGGGACAATCACTTCCCTGCTCCTGCTGGCCACACTGTTAGAGAGAAGCTGGTTTTACTCTGGTTCCCTGAATAAAAACGGTAGCCCTTGCCATTGCTGCTGACCGTGGCACATGTGTTCTCCTAGGCAGTGGGAAAAATCCATTTTCAGACAAGACAACCTGCTTTGAAGTCTTCCCAGCTGTTGCACGTCCTGGTTTAGCTGGAGACAGTGTGATGTTTGTGCTGGGAAAAGGCACCTGGCTCTCAGCATGGGGTGGATTGCCTTGGCTGTAGAGTTTGAACATTGCATTTCACTGCTTTGTTACCTGGCTGGAGTTGGTAAGGGCATCATAAAGCCATGAGAATTTAGCAAATACAAAATGATGCAAACAAATACAGAAACCAGAGAGTGTCCTGGCTTCTAGGAGCTTCTACTCCTAAGAATAAGGGCAGAGGTATAGGGTGAAGGATTCAAGTGTAAGAATAGTTGCGTTCAGCTTCTCCGTGCAGTGGGAGTTGAATTGCATAGTCAGAAAAAAGAGAATGTTACCAAAACAGAATGATGCTGTGCTATAATTTGGTGTAAAATACGGCAGTCCGTAGGGACTCATTAGTGGTTTTAGGGTGCAATGCAATGACCAGGTTCTTTTGTTAGCCACTTGTGCAAGAACTTAGGTTCTCCAAATAGTAGGCCTGGTTGTGGCTTTTCCTGTTTATAATCCAGACCTAGGACTCATGCTCCTATAACTGCAGGCGTTGAACTGACAATGCAGAACAAAATGGCATCATTGTGGCTGTTTTATACATCTGTTGAGACGATAGGAGGAACAGAAAGACCTTGTGAAATTATCATGGTTTAAATGAATAAATCCCCTTATGGATCTAGAAGGACAAGAACTCTTGGACAACAGTAGTGTATTCAATAGGATGAGTCCTTCAGAGAGAACTTGCATCCTTTTCTTAATTGCAATATTATTTTTTTTAAAAGTATTAAGTCACAGCTGCCCATGTAAATAAACCCAGTACAAGGAGGGGAAACCCTTTTCCTTCCTTCCAAAGAGATTCCCTTAACTCAAAGAAGAATGACGGGAGTGGTAAACTGGGACTGAAGGAATTCCACACCCTCTGGACAAAGATTCAGAAATACCAGGTAAGATGCAAACTTTTTGGGTGAACGTGCAATCAAACATGGAGGTGGCTGTAGACTGATTTGTCTCATACGATGCATACCATCACGCTTCCCAAAGCAGGGGCTCCCACTTCAGCTCACGATGCATTTTGTGTCCTCAGTTTCCCAGGCTTTGTCGCTCGGGGCCCAGTGGTGTGACAGCTTCAGCCTGGGCTGAAGGAAAGGCTGCCTCTCTTCCTGCCTCGCTCTCTGAGGGGTTTTTGGTTTAACTCACCCCCAAATACGTTAAGCCTTCCCACTTAACAGTGTGAGTTTGGTGGTGTTCTTGCCGCTTTGGTAGCAATAGTACCATTTTGCAGAGGTGTTCAGGGAATTCTCCGGAGTTTTTATCCTCTCTGGCTGCTGCATTGAAAAGACTTTACTTTCTAAAGCCACTTTTACCTGAACTCAGGGTTAAGTACCTAGTCCTTCAGACCAACATTACAAATGCTCCTAAGCAATGTGCAGGCTGCATTTCAAAATGTTTGACTTCTGACAAAAGCCAAAGCACGTTTTGAATTATTGACAAGTTTTGACTTTGGGTTTTGTGTTCTGCAGAAAATTTACAGGGAAATTGATGTGGATCGATCTGGTACCATGAATTCGTACGAGATGAGGAGAGCGCTGGAAACAGCAGGTATTTACATCGATCTGTCTCTTTTTAGGATTATATCAGTTTCAAGCTGGGTTGATAGATGGTCACCAGTCTCCTGTATATCACCTGTAAGTTGAAAAATCCTGTGTTCCCAGAGCTGAAAGGCCTCCATATAATCTAGATGCTCAGCCTGGGCTCTTGTCTTTGAGATGCTTTCAGTGTGCCTGCATGGCAAGACACTGCTACACAAAGGAGTGACAGGTTTGCAGTTGCTTTCTTTAGCGACCAGCTTTTGGAAAAGCACAAATAACTGCAACGATCTAGTCTTGTGACAGCATACTGTTGTCTTTCAGTGAGTCTCTCTGGGTATATGTGGGTTTGGCATAAGCCGGTAAAGCCGGGATCCTGTGACCTAGGGAATGGAAGTGGCTTGACCAAGGGGTGATGCTCACAAGAGCTTTAAAGAAGAGTCAGTTTGCTACTGCAACTACTGAAAAGCAAATCTGAGTTATGGCAAGCAAGGGGGGGTATTGCAGAGCCATATGATCCCAAATTAATTTACTGATCTTCTGGGGCCATCTTAACATCCACGCTTGGGCTCTCTGGAGCTCTCTTTTCTTCTCACCACATAAGACGAGGCAGCATTTATTTTTGTCCCAAAGTTTAGATACTCTTTGGAAATAGAGAACCATTTGCCCACAGAAAGCCACTGCTTCATCTCAGGTCTTGGTGGGCTGAGTCTGGCAGGGAAGGACCATGAGCTGGAGCAGTTGGCTGTGTCCCTTGAGAAACAGGAGTACATACATGGAAACACACACGGCAGGAAGCACACATCACCTAGTCACAGCTCTAAATCACTCCAAATACAGAAGGGGTGTTGGGAGTTTCCAAAATGGAGTAAATACTTTTAAACTTGGAGAATTTAACGAAAAGTATCTGAGTTTCTGGAGGCGTATAAGATTGAGGGTTTTTTGTTGGTTGGAGCTTTTTGCATTCTTTTTCTTCCTCTTTTTTAAATCCTTGGCATTGTATTTGTAGGGTTCAAATTGAACTGCCAGTTACATCAAATCATTGTGGCTCGTTTTGCTGATGAAGACCTCATCATTGACTTTGATAACTTTGTCCGGTGTTTGATCCGACTGGAAACCTTGTTCAGTGAGTGCAAGCTTAATAACCAGAGAAACTCTGTTGCTTTGTGTTTTCAAGTCTGGGATAAGTTATTCAGAAACCTTTGTACTGGAATCAAAGTGACTTCAAAGCTGAGCTATAAATCTGGCAACCTGGTCTGCATGCTCCTCCTAGAGCTAGGAATCAGCCTTTCAGGCCAGGTTGCTGAACCAGAGCCAGACAAGTCTTCCATGCAAATGTTGATTAAAATTAAAAAAAAAATCTAAACACTTGTAGATTAACAAATAATGTTAATGTTGCAGACTGAACCATTAAAAATGTTCTGTCTCCTTCTTGGACACAAGCATGCAATGACTTTAGAGCTGCCCTTTCTGGTTTGGGGCTTAGGCTGTTGTCGAATTTTAGACTGTGGGACTAAATTCCTTTTTGATCCTGAAGCACAAGGAAGGGAAGGCTTTCCAGTTATTCCTATATTCATGCTTGCTATCATCTCTCTCCTGCTACAGAAATGTTTAGAAAACTGGATACTGAAAAAACTGGAACAATAGAACTGAACCTTGTTGATGTAAGTACATTTAGCTCTAAAACTCTTGTTGTCTTTTTTTTTGGGGGGGGGCGGGGAAAGGGTTTAACAGTTGAGATTGTCCTGCTCCATTCTGAACTGATTATGGCTGGTTATGTGTATTCACATATATGCTGGATCTATATAGCCTGTGAATTTATAATGTTTTTATAAGCAGTCTTAAGAAAGGTTACCATTTTTTAAGATGTACCTACATCACATTGTGTGCTCTAACGAACAGGCCAGGTTACTTTAACCTTACTGGCAGAAATTTTGGCTGATACGGATGCAAACTTCTTCCCTGCCTTTTCTGGCAACAACAGGGTAAAACCTAGGTGCAGTAGTGACTCACGCTACTGCCTGTGCCTGCTTCTTTCTGCACCATGCGTGCCCTGTGGAAAGGACTAAGTTAGGAGGAACCTACCCTCCCACATGCATTCAACTTGCTTATTACCTGAACATAACTCATGTCTGGACCTAAACGAGGAATGTGCACATCATCCCAAAACTCTTCTGGCTTAAATGAGATAGATACAAATTTAAATCATTCAGGAAAGATTCTAAAATTACTTCTGTAACAATAGACTTTCCGCCTCGTGCTGGAAATGGGAACATGAAGGCTTCCTACCTACAGGTATTTTTACTAAACTTAACCTCGAGCCGTTTTCCTCTCTCTCCCATTACAGTGGCTGTGCGTTACTGTCATTTGAGCCATTGACATCAGCTCAAGCCACCTCAAAACCAGCAAGATCAGGTGAAGATAATCAAGCAAACATACGAGTAATATCCCAACATGAATGTGCCTTAACTTACACATGGCAAATTTTGCACACAGTTGGAAGACGACTCTCCGATCTCCTTTTCTGGGTCTGACAGTTTTTACATATCCTCAGTACAAAAGCTTTAATTTAGTATAAATCCTTACTGCAACTTTTGAAAATACTGCTTTGCTAATCATAGAATGGTTTGGGTTGGAAGGAACCTCAAAGATCATCTAGTTCCAACCTCCCTTTTTTTTTGACCAGGTTGGTCAAAGCCTCATCCAATCTGGCCTTGAACACTCCCAGGGATGGGGCAGCCACAGCTTCTCTGGGCAACCCGTTCCAGTGCCTCACCAACCTTAGGGTGAGGAATTTCTCATTCCAACAGGTCCATGTCCTTCTTATGTTGGTGGCCCCAGAGCTGAACTAATATATTTGAATTTAAGGTGTTTTACATGACTTCTGGAAGAAAGCTCATTATAGCTTTACAGTCTGGTTCAGTAAGTGCTTTTTGAATAACCAAGAGCTCCATCCTACGTATCTGAAACTAGAAAAGCGGCAGCGTTCCATCTGTCTGAATACAGGTGTTTAGGTAAGATATGGGTCCTTTGAGTGCTTTCTGTCAAGCCCAAGCATTATTCTGGTTAAATATTCATTGAAGATGTTGAGGAGCAAGTACAAGAGGACAAGTCTTTCCCTCCTGACCATTGATGTGCCTGTAGCAGGAGGCTGTTGGCAACCATACTCTTCCAAGAGAAAGCCCATGCTCTGAGGTGGAATCTTGATTTCCTGCCTCTTACTTATCTTCCTTTGAAATACAGGAACATATTTAAATAAAAATAGTAGAAATAAAGTTTGCAACACTTATTTCTTTTGCAAATAAGCACAGTTTTTCTTAGAGATATATCATCACAGAGTGTATGCAGCACTTTCAGTGTCAGGAAGAGAGTATGTTACCTTTTAAGGGGAAAAGAGTATTCGGGAGCTGACTGGGCACTGACAGACACTCTGGCCATGTCAGTTAATGAAATGCTAGACAGTCTGATAATCTTTTAAAGTATCAGATAAAGTAACACTTGGAAAACTAACGGTTTCCAAGAAAGATAATTGATCCTATCTACCTCATACACAACCTATTAAAATCATGAGGCTGTGAACATGAGCAGATTGTTGCTTCAGGAGTTCTCACTACTGCTGACTGAAGTTTACCCACATGAGCAATTGTCCTCTTTCCTACAAAGAGTTTATTGTATCTATGGGCACCTTTTCAGAAAGCAGTAACGATTTACCTCATAGGAAAACATAAGCTTGAAGGGTGAAGCACTTCATAAATAGCCTTAAGGAAAGATTTGATCCTCTCTATTAAATAATATTCACTATCAAATGATTATTCCCAACTAAATAGATGTAAAGGATAATTCCATGGAAAAGGCTTTATCTGGAAAATACTTGTACCAAGTTGTTTGTTTGTTTTTTTCAAGTATGTCACTTAGCTTTTAAGGTTAACAAAGGTTATGTTCAAGTAACAGATTCGGTTTAATTTTAAATGCAGAAAGACTGTCTTGAATGAACTGGGGAGGAGGGGTTCAGTTTAACACAGAAAGTGGCTGAATGTTAGCATGATGTAGAACAACAGCGTGTCTTACCATTAACGTTTTCAGATGGTCCAATAAAAACTCAACACTGAGACTCAGAGTTAAGAGGAGACAAAAGTTTAATGGTATCACAGTCAAGTAAAAACAAGTTAAGTTGTCAAGAACTACAGAAAGTTTCTACACTTAGTTTTCAAAGTACAAAATACAATAAATACATGAGGCTCTTTGTAAAAAGAGGAATCTAAAACTACATTGACTGTTACAGCACATAATATTTTGAGTACATGGAATTCCTAAGATGCTACAGCATTTTTAAAAGTTATTGCTTAATGGATTGGTCACAGGGTTGTCACTGTTCAGATGCACTTCTGTTTAGCTCCTTTAACAAACGTTCTGCTTCCAGCAATGAGCATTTGGGTGCTGTGCACGTACTTTATTGTAATTTCTCCCATCTGGAAAAAGCCTCGGGATAAATTTGGACAAAGCCAAATTGTCTGTTTCATCATGATTCCTTCAATGGTAAATTGAAAAGGTCCTTGTATTTAATGCAGAAAAATGTGAAATTCTTTTCTGCCATGTTTGACGAAATCAGAGCAGGTACTTGAACACAATGGCTTGCTTAGACCAAAGGCAGCAGAATCTCATTTGCTTGTAAGCATTATTTCATCTTGTACAATGCCCTCATCCATTTGCTAATGCATCAATCCTTCATTTGTTTCCAAAGCACATTCTTCATAGCTTTCAAATTACTTTGTCATTGAAAAAAAGTCTCATGATATTGGAACCAACACAAAATGATTTTTTTTTTTTTTGTAAGTCATCCATGATTAGTACTTCAAGAACCTGGTTTCTGTACTGCTTCATGCCAAGCTTCTTTGTCTAGGTTTAATCCTTGGATACAGCTGAGGGTAAAATAGAAATGAGATTTGAAATTTTAGTGCTTTAAAAGGTTACTTTTTTAAAAACAAAAAAAGAGAAACCTCTCTTTGGTGCTACAATTCTAATGTAATCTCTAGTAGGAAAAGCATGGTTATCAAAACACCCAAAGCACTAACAAATATAAATTTAGTATTCTTAGGCAAGCTTAAAAAATACAAACCATGTCAGTACAAAAGGAAGGCATTGAAAAAAATCACATACTTCAGTACCTTCAGCTCTACCCAGATGGGTGGGCTGGGAAAAGCATGTGGCTTTGTAAGTCAAGAGACTTTTGTGTTCAGTGAACTATGAGATTTCTTCCCAGTTTTATAAAGGAAGTAGAGAGGTATTAAAGTCTGTTTTGCTTTCTCTCTCTCTGAATGCCTATCAGCCTTTACAGATCTATAGCTTTGGGCAAGCTGGGAACATCTGGCTGCATAAGGACCATGGAACCACAGGAGCTGTGCTTTAGTTAGTGGGTAGTGGGTGGCCAGTTAAACTCATTTAACTGCCCAGCAGTAAATCAGTAGCTGCCACCCTCTGGCCCTCGAGCTGTGCGCTATTCACAGTCTGGCTACACGCAGAGGTACAGAGGCTGCCTCAGATGCAGGGTGACGACTGACAGGACACAGCTCGACACCGCACGCAGCAGCACTGAGATGCTTGGGAAGCTCTTGGCTCCCACTTGCAAAGGGCTTTGGGAACAACTAGTGTTCTGCAAAGTGTGGCTACTGGCATATAAAAATAGAAGGATACACTCCATACTATTAGGAAAAACGAATCCTCTGTGCTCTAAATAGTAATGTATGTCTACATTACATCCTGGGTGTTTTTAGCTAAAGTTCTCCTTAAAGATGCCCTTTTCTCTCTCCAGCTAGATTCTGGCTTTCTTATTTTTCATGGTCAGCTAATGATTTAAGAGAAGACCAATAGCTTCACCCACAGGGTTTGTCTCAGCCTGCTATGACTTCACCACTAGTCAGTCAGTCACAGCACCGTAACACCTGATGGTATTCAAAAGATTTTGTTTAGTATGAAGCAGAAAGTATTTTGACAGTATTCTCTTATTTGCATTCGCTTTTGGAGCTCTCGCACAGCTTAGGGAGCCAGTGAGTCACTAAGAAGGGTAGAGTACTGATGTGGATAATTTCATCCTTGTTTTTATTCAGTGCACCTAACTGCAAAAGGATAAAGCAGCCGTGATAAAAATACAGCTTCATATAAGAATATATCAAACTACCAAGCATTTGCCTCTACGCTGAGTATCTTAGCCGAGATTTCAGCTGCTATGTTAAGAGTCCAGTAATTGCTTTTGAGAATGACCACAGAATACTTTGGTAGCGGTACCAGCACAACTGCACAGACACACAGAAGTGTAACAGTTAATGTGGGGCCTGGGAAGTTTTCCCCAAAGGTCTGTTTGGATTGTTGTACTTAGAAGGATAAGTCATGATTCTCAGTCTGGGCTGTGTTACCTTGTGCTTTTTAGTACCGAAGCACAGATGCTCCTCATGTTCTTACACACCTGTGCTCAGGCTGAGTGCACAAGCTGATGAAGTAGCCACATGCACAATTCACCCTGGAGCAGGAAAAAAAAAAAACCCTGCCATTTCTGACCTTGTTGTACAGTGCTGATGGCTGCCCTCAGTTTAGAAAAGTTTACATTTGGAAAGGAAAAAAACACTTAGACTTAGAAGTACTATATGTTAGGGAGAATTTTACAGCTCCTTGTGGATAGGGCTGACCTGAAAGCAATACAGAAGTGAAAACTGATTTTGCATTAGATACAGTCACCCTGCAAAATGTAACCAGTTTAAGGATTATCTGCATGAGGAAGGAGGTTCAGCCTCTTTCAAGCATCATACATCAATCAGCTAAAATTCATAGCAGTTAATCTTTAGTACTGGCAGAACCTCTTATCTCCAGCAGCAAGGCAACTGGATATGTAGAAAAAAGCTTAATGGAATTTTTATACATGTGCCCATCTGCTATGGTTTTCTAGCAACTCAGCCTTGAGGAGGAACACAGCGACACAACTGAAAATGTTATTTGTACACAGTTGCTTTTAATAAAAGAGGTACAGAAGGTGATAAGGAGAGGCCATTAATTTAAGGCCTTTGACTTATGATTAAAA